CTCGCCCACAAAACCTCCTTTACCCCCTCTCTCCAACCCTTTCAAGGACGACCCCTACCCCTCCTTCCTTCCCCTATAGATTTACAGTGGACCCTCAACCAGCGATATTAATCCGTTCCCGAGAGCTCATCGTTAGTCAAAATAATCATTAGTCAAGTTAATTTTCCCCATAAGAAATAATGGAAATCAAATTAATCCGTGCAAGACACCCAAAAGTATTGAAAAAAAAAAATTTTTACCACATGAAATATTAATTTTAATACACACAAACTGAAGATTACATGCACAGTTACATGACACTTACCTTTATTGAAGATCTGGTGATGATTGATGGGATGGGAGGAGGGGAGAGCGTTATCTTCTAACTGTTTAGAAGGGGAATCCCCTTCCATTAGCACTTGAGGCAGCAAGTCTTTTTCTGGGGTTACTTCCCTTGTTCTTTTAATGCCACTAGGACCAGCTTGAGAGTCACTGGACTTCTGTCGCACAACATATCTGTCCATAGAGGCCTGTACCTCTCGTTCCTTTATGACTTTCCTAAAGTGGTTCACAACATTGTCAGTGTACAGGTTGCCAATACGGTTTGCAGTAGCTGTGTCAGGGTGATTATCATCCATAAAGCTTTGCACTTTAAGCCACATTGCACAGATTTCCTTAATCTTAGAAGTAGGCAACTTCTTCAATTTCTCTCTCCCCTCCTCCAAAGCAGTTTCCTCAGGTCTGCCCTCTTGCTGTTCAAGATGATCTAGCAGCTCATCAGTGGTTAGTTCTTCACTGTCCTCCACCACCAACTCTTCCACATCCTCCCCACTAACCTCCAACCCCAAGGACTTCCCCAATGCCACAATGGATTCCTCAACTGGCATAGGATTCTCAGGGTTAGCCTCAAACCCTTCAAAATCCCTTTTGTCTACACATTCTGGCCACAGTTTTTTTCCAAGCAGAGTTCAATGTCCTCTTAGTCACTTCCTCCCAAGCCTTACCTATAATGTTTACACAATTGAGGATGGTAAAATGATCTTTCCAAAACTCTCTTAGAGTCAGTTGAGTTTCTGAGGTCACTACAAAGCACCTTTCAAACATAGCTTTTGTGTACAGTTTCTTGAAGTTGGAAATAACCTCCTGGTCCATGGGCTGTAGGAGAGGAGTGGTATTAAGAAGCAAAAACTTCACCTTAATGAAGCTCATGTCCCTAGAAAGTCGCTCTGCCACATCCGTAGGATGAGCAGGGGCATTGTCTAATACCAGGAGGCACTTAAGGTCTAATTTCTTTTCAATTGGGTAATTTTTCACATCGGGGGCAAATGCATGGTGTAACCAGTCATAGAAGAAGTCCCTAGTGACCCATGCCTTACTGTCTGCCCTCCACAGCACACACAAATTAGCCTTGAGGACATTGTTTTTCCTGAACACTCTGGGGGTTTCAGAGTGATACACCAATAAAGGCTTCACTTTGCAATCACCACTAGCATTGGCACACATCAACAAAGTAAGCCTGTCTTTCATAGGCTTATGTCCTGGGAGTGCCTTTTCCTCCTGAGTAATGTACGTCCTGCTTGGCATTTTCTTCCAAAACAGGCCTGTTTCGTCACAATTAAACACTTGTTCAGGTTTCAATCCTTCACTGTCTATGTACTCCTTGAAGTCCTGCACATATTTTTCAGCCGCTTTGTGGTCCGAACTGGCAGCCTCACCATGCTTATCACACTATGAATGCCACTACGCTTCTTAAATCTCTCAAACCAACCTTTGCTGGCCTTAAATTCACTCACATCACTAGTTGCTGGCATTTTTTTAATTAAATCGTCATGCAACTTCCTAGCCTTTTCACATATGATCGCTTGAGAGATGCTGTCTCCTGCTATCTGTTTCTCGTTTATCCACACCAATAACAGTCTCTCAACATCTTCGAGTACTTGCGATCTCAGTTTCGAAAACATAGTTGCACCTTTGGCAAGAACAGCTTCCTTGATTGCCGTTTTCTTGCCCACAATAGTAGCGATGGTTGATTGGGGTTTATTATACAACCTGACCAGCTCAGAGATACGCACTCCACTTTCATATTTATCAATGATCTCTTTCTTCGTCTCCATAGTAATTCTCACCCTTTTTGCTGTAGGGTTGGCACTAGAAGCTTTCTTGGGGCCCATGGTGATTTATTTTGCAGGTGCAATCACTAAAAAGGCTGTGATAATATGAAATGTTCCAGTTGTATGTTTGGAAGCGACTGCGGTGGCTGGCTGGCTTGTAAACACTGGCACCAAAGGGACAAGCGAGGCGCGCTCAGGCCAAAGTGGACGCGTATGGTACAGAACGAATAGCGCTGGTCGGGTTTTTAAGCGCTAGTCGAGGCAAAATTTTTGCGTTTAAATGAATCGCTAGTCAGATTTATCGTTAATTGATGCCATCGCTGGTTGAGGGTCCACTGTATATGCTTTCCATGTCATTCTACTTTGATCCATTCTCTCTAAATGACCAAACCACCTCAACAACCCCTCTTCTGCCCTCTGACTAATGCTTTTATTAACTCCACACCTTCTCCTAATTTCCACACTCCGAATTTTCTGCATAATATTTACACCACACATTGCCCTTAGACAGGGCATTTCCACTGCCTCAAACCGTCTCCTAGCTGCTGCATTTACCACCCAAGCTTCACATCCATATAAGAGTGTTGGTACCACTATACTTTCATACATTCACTTCTTTGCCTCCATAGACAGCGTTTTTTGACTCCACATATACCTCAACGCACCACTCACCTTTTTTCCCTCATCAATTCTATGATTAACCTCATCCTTCATAAACCCATCTGCCGACACTTCAACTCCCAAGTATCTGAAAACATTCACTTCTTCCATACTCCTCCTCCCCAATTTGATATCCAATTTTTCCTTATCTAAATCATTTGATACCCTCATCACCTTACTCTTTTCTATGTTCACTTTCAACTTTCTACCTTTACACACATTCCCAAACTCATCCACTAACCTTTGCAATTTTTCTTTAGAATCTCCCATAAGCCCAGTATCATCAGCAAAAAGTAACTGTGTCAATTCCCATTTTGAATTTGATTCCCCATAATTTAATCCCACCCCTCTCCCGAACACCCTAGCATTTACTTCTTCTACAACCCCATCTATAAATATATTAAACAACCATGGTGACATTACACATCCCTGTCTAAGACCTACTTTTACCGGGAAGTATTCTCCCTCTCTTCTACACACCCTAACCTGAGCCTCACTATCCTCATAAAAACTCTTAACAGCATTTAGTAACTTACCATCTATTCCATATACTTGCAACATCTGCCACATTGCTCCTCTATCCACTCGATCATATGCCTTTTCTAAATCCATAAATGCAATAAAAACTTCCCTACCTTTATCTAAATACTGTTCACATATATGCGTCAATGTAAACACTTGATCTACACATCTCCTACCCACTCTGAAGCCTCCCTGCTCATCCGCAATCCTACATTGTCTTACCTCTAATTCTTTCAATTATAACCCTACCGTATACTTTTCCTGGTATACTCAGTAAACTTATTCCTCTATAATTTTTACAATCTCTTTTGTCCTCTTTCCCTTTATATAAAGGGATTATACATGCTCTCTGCCAATCCCTAGGTACCTTCCCCTCTTTCATACATTTATTAAACAAAAGTACCAACCACTCCAACACTATATCCCCCCCCTGTTTATTCATTCTACTGTGGGGTGTATTTATCATATTTATATGTTATGCATCGTGTTTATATAATTTTAAAAAATATCATAGATGGATTAATGAAAATGTGTATATTAACTGTGGTAGTAGGTTGGTAGACAGCAACCGCCCAGGGAGGTACTACCGTCCTGCCAAGTGAGTGTAAAACGAAAGCCTGTAATTGTTTTACATGATGGTAGGATTGCTGGTGTCCTTTTTTCTGTCTCATGAACATGCAAGATTTCAGGTATGTCTTGCTACTTCTACTTACACTTAGGTCACACTACACATACATGTACAAGCATATATATATACACACCCCTCTGGGTTTTCTTCTATTTTCTTTCTAGTTCTTATTCTTGTTTATTTCCTCTTATCTCCATGGGGAAGTGGAACAGAATTCTTCCTCCGTAAGCCATGCGTGTTGTAAGAGGCGACTAAAATGCCGGGAGCAAGGGGCTAGTAACCTCTTCTCCTGTATATATTACTAAATGTAAAAGGAGAAACTTTTGTTTTTCCTTTTGGGCCACCCCGCCTCGGTGGGATACGGCCGGTGTGTTGAAAGAAGAAAGAAGTGTATATTAACGTAATATACAACATTTAAATGAGACTCGGTGATTATTATTATCATTACTAATATGACGTCTGGAGACCTAAGACACTCTTACTGATTTTAATGTGTACCTGCATGCCAGCACAGTATGTAAGTTTATTTAAGTACAGGTATACATAAGTATAATTATCAGAGTATATATAAAATATTAAATAACTTTAAAAACACTTAAAATTTTGGAGTTTCCAGATATAATGGAGAGATTTAGTGCTTACGGATCTCACAGAGAATGTTAACAAACCGGGAGAATGTAAACAAACCAGGTGGAGCGCGGTGACCATATTAGAAAGTCAGGTGGGGGAGTCGTATAGCGAGTTTTGGTCATAATTTGAAATGACCGTATTAGTGGAACGCCGTAAAGCGGGGCCCTACTGTACACTGCAAATTCGCCGTTTTAAATAAAAAACACGGTAGCATTTTTTTTTCTCTCATTATGCACTGCACGTTACAGGATTTTTTTTATACTGCACACACTGACCACACAGATCCATTCTTTCACCAGATTTGAAGGCGACAGAATTTTGGCGTATAAATATGGGACCGACACTGGTTATCAAGCCGTACATATACGGGACCGACCCTGAAAGGGTTAACATGTAAACTTAGCAATGAATTGCCAGATAATCACCCAACGCAAAAACCAATGCACAAAGTACCTGTATATATCACTTACCATTGTATATTTTTATACTGATAGTTCAATACCTCCCTTTCAATTTGCTGAGCCAATTCGCGAGTTGGAGCAAGAACAAGACAAGTTGGTCCAACACGTTCCAAACGAGGAGTTGGCTGAGCAACAATGTGTAACAGAGCTGGCAGAATAAAGGCCAAGGTTTTTCCTGAAATAATAAATATATACAGCATTAAGAAATAATGTACAGTGAATACACATGAATGGTACTGAATGGCACACAGGCCTGTGTTTTCTGTAACAGTGCTTCACTTTGTGATAGCATGAGAAACCACTTTGAAAAAAGTAACAGGGTGAGATTTATTATGTACCCCTAATTTCTAAAAGTGACTAAATATTACTAAAAACCATAGCCTTGACACATTACATAACTAAGATAAGCTGTAAGGGAGAAATTATTTAGATCTTGGCAAATGCATTATGAAATAACTACACTACAGGACTAACCCCTAAATACATCAAAATATCCTCTAACTTACTACTGTACTAAAATCAGATCATCCAATAACACTAGGAACTAAAATTCAATGAAAAAGAAAAGCATCTGTAAACTCGCATTCTTTTTCAGAACACCAACAAGTTATAAATCTTTACACATAGCAACTGATTCAACAAATAGCTTAATTTTCAACTGACTAACGAGATTTTTTTCACATCCATTTTTTAAACCCATGTAAGGAGCCTGCTTTCAGTATCACTGCTTACGTTATTCAACTTATTTGCCGGTCTTACAGCGAAGAAAAACAAGTACTGCACTCCCTATTTGTGTGTAATATCCAGCAACACTCTCTGGAGTGTTTTTGCTATATCTCCCATCCTGTTTTTTTGCTCAATCATTAAGATGCTTTCCTTTGCATTACCTCAAGTTTTACTAGGTGTGAAATCCACACTGGTGATGCATATTCAAACTAGATGTCATTTTTTTTTTTTTAACACACCGGCCATTTCCCATCGAGGCAGGATGACCCAATGACCCAAAAAAGAAGGAATGAGCCATTGAATAGATGAAGGGGGAAAAATGTAGGTTTTGTGTTTAGGAATATGTAAAAAGAAAGTTATCTATGAAGACAAAAAAAAAAGTACCAAAGAATAGTGGTAGAAATGCTTTTATATGGTTGCAGGGCATGTATTTGAATGCTGAAGTGAGGATGAGGCTAGAGGCAGTGAAGATGTCATGTTTAAGAGAAATGCGTGATGTGAATATCACACAAACTTCAGAAAGCAGTAATTAAAAGGTGATGTGGGGGATGAGGAGGGATTGTTGAGGTAGTTTGAGCATGTAGAGAGGATACTGAAAGATAAGTTTAAGAAGAGTGCATAAATCTGGGATGGAAGATAGGAGGGGAAAGGGTGGGGGTCATTCTAGAAACAGTTGAAGAAAGGGGGTAAAAGAAGCTTAGAGTTTTAAGGGCTTGAGCATCCATCATGCTAGTAGGAGCAAATTAGATAGGAGTGGTTTTTAACCCTTTGACTGTCGAGACCCTTGTTTACAAACTTGCTTTCAGTGTAGAAGAATTAAAAAAAAAAAAAAAAAAATATGAAATTATAGAGAATCTTTTCCCAATGATAATGACACCATAAGTACGAAATTTGATGGAAAATTTACGAAATTACACTCTTGCAAGTTAGCAGTCTCGACGATATTTATGCATTACCTGGAGTTTACCGATTTTGCCCACTATAAACCCTATTTCTGACCAATTCCATTGTTCCAGTCAACCAAACTCATAGCTATTTCGCTAGAACTCCTCTTATTCTATCTATTGAGTACAAGAAACTGCCCGTTTACCAATTTCAACTACCCAATCAAGTGATCAGAAATTGGTAATTTGGCCAATTTCATACAAAATTCAAGGAAGTCCGATTTCAAAATAGGGTCCAGAATTAACAACGCAAACATTCCTGGCACTAAAATAACATTCTCTCTTCATTAGTCATGTCTCCAGTCCCCTCTTGCTTCCCATTTTGAATTTTTATTCACACAAAACAGAATATTTACTGTTATGAAGACTACTGCATTATTGTAAAAATGATATATAATAATAATAATAATAATAATAATAATAATCTTTATTTACTACAAGTACATGTACATGGTATACAGTCCTAGCTGACAACAATGACATACTACTACATAGAAAGCCACTTGTTATGCTGAGCATCTCGGGCAAATTAGGTCAGTGTCCCAGGATGCGACCCACACCAGTCGACTAACACCCAGGTACCCATTTTACTGATGGGGAACATAGACAACAGGTGGAAAGAAACACGCCCAATGTTTCTACTCTGGCTGGGAATCGAACCCAGGCCCTCGCCGTGTGAAGCTAGAGCGTTAACCACCAGGCCACCAGAGCCACTACTTGATATCAGCGCATCTGTGAAAGCACATTACACCCACCAGTAGACATGTATTGGATGCGTGACATGATTTGTTTACTCTTGAACATCGGCAAAAAATCGAACATTTCCGCTACTTTGAGCTCAATTTCAAGGTACTTTTAGTCCATTAACCATTTAAAATCATCTCTAGTTCTGTAATATATCTTCCATTTTATCAAACGAGACCAAGAAAATGAGAATACAACCATAAATACCATATGAAAATACATAGCAAAGTCGCTGTTTTAACTCTTTTAGTGTTGGTCCCATAATACTACACCGAATGGAGTTCTAGTGAAATAGCTATGATTTTTAGTCAACTAGAACAATGGAATTGGCCGAAAATAGGGCTGAAAGTGGGAAAAATCGCCAAAGTGTAAATATTGCCGAGATCACTGACTTCGCGAGAACGTTATTTCGTAAGTTTTCCGTCAAATTTCGTACTTTTGGTGTCAGTACCATTGGGAAAAGACTTGCTGTCATTTCATAAAATAATTTTTTTTTTTTTTTTGGGGGGGGGGGGAGAGGGGGAGGATTTTTTTTGACAGCAAGTTAACCCTTAAACTATCCAAACATAGAACTACGTTCGTGTGCATAGCACTCCGAACAAAAGCATGAAAAATGAAATGTATATCTACGTTCGGAGCACTACACATGTGAACGTAGATCTACATTTGGACAGTTTAAGGATTAACCCCTTGACTGTCGCAACCCCCAATCCTAAGGTGTCTCCTGGTGTCGCAAAATTTAAAAAAAAAAAAAAAAAAAATATGAAATGATAAGAGAATCTTTTCCCGATTGTACTGACACCTAAAAAAACAAAATTTGATGGAAAACTGACAGAATTATGCTCTCGCAAAGTTAGTGACCTCGGCGATATTTACAAATCGGCGATTTCGCCCACTTTGAGCCCTATTTTCGGCTAATTCTGTTGTACCAGTCAACCAAACTCATAGCTATTTCTTTAGAACTCCATTTTTTCTATCGAATGAGTACAAGAAACTGCCCATTTACCGATTTCGACTACCCAATTATGTGGTCAGAAATTTGCAATTTGGCCAATTTCACGAAAATTAAAAAATATGACAATTTCAAAGTAAGGTCCAGAATGAACAATGCAGACTTTCCTGGCTCTAAAATAACATTTTCTTTGTTCATCAGTCATGTCTCCAGGCTCCTCTGATATTACTCTTGCTTTCTATTTTGAATCTTTATTCAAACAAAAAATAGAAGACTTACTATTATGCAGACTACTGCAATACTGTAATAATTGTATAAATAACATAAACCCATTCATGACTGCATATTAGAATGGCCAGTTGGACATTTATTGGACAATGACATCATTTGTTTACTTTTGAACATTGGCAAAAATCAAACATTTCCCCTACTTAGAGCTCCATTTCCAGGTTCTTTTTATAGTAAAATCAATCAAAATCACCTCTATTTCTATATGTTTTCCATTCTATCAAATGAGACCAAGGAAACGAGAATACAACCATAAATACTATACGAAAATAGACCACAAAGTCGGCATTTTAATTAAAAAAAACGGTCGGAGTTTTTTTTTCTCATTATGCACTGCGTGCTCCAGGATTTTTTTTATATGGTGCACACTGACCACACAGTCCCATTCTCTCACATGTGGGCCTACCAGCTTTCTCCTGCTTGATTTGAAGCCGCTAGAATTTATGAGTACATATACGTCAAACACGGTACCTCTTAAGACGTATATATACGGCCGCGACAGTCAAAGGGTTAAGGATCAGGGGTCTCGACACAGAGTTAAACAAAAAACATGGAGTTATTTTTTTTTTCCATTATGCACTGCAGGATTTTTCTGTACAGTGCACACTGACCACTCAGACCCACTCTCTCATGTGTAGGCCTACCAACTTTCTCTTGCGAGATTTGAGGCCGACACAATTTTGGCATACCATTACGGGACTGACACTGGATTGCAAGCTGTAATATTACAGGACCGACAGTAAAAAGGGTTAATGGATGTGTTGTTAGTCTAAGCAGTTACTTTTATGAAGGAATTCAGGAAACCAGTAAGCCAAACTCAAGTCCTGGAGATAAGGGCTGTGTCTGCACAGAGGAGGAGGAATTGGGATGTTACAGTCAGAGGGTAATCTGATTATGCCAGCACACTTCTAGAAAGATGATCAAATGAATGATAGTGAATGTGTTTTCTTCTCTGGGTAACCTTGCCTTAGTGATAGACAGCTGTTAAAAGAAAATACAGCCTCTCCTCACTTACCAACAGAGTTCCATTCCTAAGACCACGTCGGTAAACTAATTCGTTGTTAATTGAGGAACCACCCCTCACTGATACTTCAAAAAATGTCATCACCCAAAATTAAAACATTCATGTTTATGTCTTCTGTGAAAATCCTTTCAATCTATTCATTATTAATGATAATACAACATAAACATTTACAAAAATTCAATGTATTTCCAAGGACCTAAAATCTGGAACACCCTACCTGAAAACTCTAGAACTGCAGACATAAGAACATAAGAACATAAGAAAGGAGGAACACTGCAGCAGGCCTGTTGGCCCATACTAGGCAGGTCCTTTACAATTCATCCCACTAACGAAACATTTTCCCAACCCAATCCTCAATGCTACCCATGAAATAAGCTCTGATAACTATCCACTCATTTGCAAGTCCCACTCAAATCCAACCCCTCTCACTCATATATTTATCCAACCTAAATTTGAAACTACCCAATGTCCTAGCCTCAATAACACAACTAGGTAGA